TATATATATATATATATATATATATATATATATATATATATATATATAGAGAGAGAGAGAGAGAGAGAGAGAGAGAGAGAGAGAGAGAGAGAATAGGCAAAGGATAGAGGATAGGGGAAGCCTCAGTCTTCGAAGATAAGGACTGCTGGATGTTTTCCCTCTCAAACTAATTGCAATATTGCTGTCATTTCAGTTCAATGAATATTTGGGTGGCTCCTAAGTACCAGGAGCTGTGCTAGACACTGGAGATATAAAGATATATGCCCTACCTCAGGCAGCAAGCAACATGAAAACAGATCTTTAGCACAGATTACAAAAGTGGGGATTTCTTATGTGTAGTGTTTAAGAACAGGAGGCCAAACTGGAGGTTGATATGGCAAAATACTATTGATTTTTAACAGCTTTTTTTGAGATATAATTCCTATACCATACAATTCACCCATGTAAAGTATACAATTCAATGTTTTTTAAAGAGTATTTAGAGTTATGCAACCATCTAATTTTAGAAAGCTTTGGTATCCCTAAAAGAAACGCTGTATCCACAAGCAGTCACTGCATCCCCTCCACCCTTTCGTCTCCAGCCCTGGGCAAAGACTAATTTACTTCCTGTCTCTATAGAGTTGCCTATTCTGGACTTTTTATATAAATGAAATTGTACAATATATGGTCTTTTATGACAGCATAATTTTTTCAAAGTTCATCATGCTGTAGCATGTATTGGTACTTTCTGTTTATGGCTAAATAATATTCCACTGGGTAGATGTACCACATTTTATTTATCCATTCCTCAGTTGATGCATATTTGGGTTGTTTCTACTTTTAGGCTATTTATTATGAATAATGCTGCTATGAACATTTGTGTATGAGTTTTTGGGTGGATATGTTCTCATTTCTCCTGGGTAGATACTGCTGGGCCATATGGTAACTCTATGTTTAATATTTTGAAGAACTGACAGACTGTTTTTCCAAAGCAGCGGCACCATTTTACAATCCCATCAGCAGTGTATGCGGGATTCAATTTCTCCACATCCTCATCAGCACTTGTTCTTGTCTGTCTCTTTGATTATAGCCATTGCAGTGAGTGTGAAGTGGTGTCTCTGTGGTTTTGATTGGCATTTTCCTAATGACTTATGACATCTGACATCTTTCCATGCGCTTATTTGCTATTTGTGTACTCTGAAAAAATGTCTGTTAAATCCTTTGCCTAGCTCTATACTGG